ACCTCTGGCAAGTGACACCCACAAGGCATTGGCGAGTCACGGAGCCGGGAGTCAAAGGGACACTGACCTGCGATGACTCCACCACCCGGTCCCAGCACACGGGGGCAAGAGGGAGCCATGCAGAAGGAGCCCCAGTTGCCCGCAGTGACACGGGGCCAATCCCACGCCCGCCTTAATAGCCCCTGGAATGGGCCCTCTGCCTGCGAGCTCCCGGCCACCCGTCCGAGGGGACCCCCGACAACGGAGCTGTGCCGGCCTGGGAGGGCGCTGCTGACCTGCTCCTATGACACAGCAGGGGTAGGCGGCACTGCCCTGGCTCCGGCAGCCCCCCATACCCGCCCCTTGGAGGTGCTCCATGGATCCACCCTGCCCCCTCACCCTCCCCAGACCCCAGATGCCACAGGCCCCACAACACGCCAACATCCCGTCGTGGCACCCAGCGCCCCACTGCTGGGAGGGAACGGGCACCTGGGTGAAGAGCCGCTGGCTTACAGAAGCTGGGTCCCCGCAGCCCCCCCGCACTGAGGGGTGCCCCTCCCCGTGGGCCATGCTGATCTCGGTGGCTTGGGGGACTCCCCATGGCACAGCAAAGGCACATGCAGACAGTCCCCCCCCAACCCCAGAGTCCCCCCCACAGCCCATATGGCACACAGGCCCCAAGGCACTATCTGCCCCACAGCACGAGGGGAGCTATCCCCCCACCCACTGCCGCTGAGCCCCAGCAGAGCTCCCGTGTCTGTTAGAGGCCCATCCCCCGCGCTGCCGGTGGGCTGCCCTGCCTCGTACAGCTCCCCGGGCACATGGGGAGGGGACCAACCCGGCCATTTGCCAGGTCCCCCACACAGGAAACAACAACAGCCGACAGACAAGTACCCGCTGCTCCCAGGGTGCTAGTGTGGGTAACCACCCCCCAGCCGGGCCCTGGGCAGCCACGGCCCCCAGGGATGCTGCCCCCCCCCCCCAGAACAGTAGGGGCCATTAACGTGTCACCGGAGCAATGATTAACGACCGCACTGCTGCTCCCAAGGGGTGCCGGAAGAGCCAGGGCAGTCCAGCCCCCCGGGGAGAGCCCTGCACGGAGGGTACGAACCCCAAGGAGGGGGGTGGGGGAGCAGGCGCCAGGCCACGCAGGTACCAGGGAGAGGGGCTCTAAAGGGGTTAGATGGAGCCCTGAGCTCTGCGCTGTGGAAAGTGGGCGGGCGGACAGGGCACGGCCATGACCCGTCTGCACTGCGCAGCACTCTAGGATCCGCCCCGGCGCCCCATTCCCAGCAAGTCCCAGTGCTGCGGCTCAGCAGCCCTGGCTACGCCCACCCGGGAGCTATGGCACATGCAAGCCCACGGCCCAGCGCCCCGTCCTGAGTGTGGGGCGAGCCGCCAGCGGGCGACGGGGAAGAGGGGAGAATGCCCGGCACCGTTTCGGGCTCCACGTCTATGCCCCTTCCTCTCAGAGCAGCCAGCTTGGTGGGTCGGAGCCTTGGCCCCAGCTCCAGCACAGCACTAGGGGATGCTGTGGGGCAAGCAGTGCAGAGCAGGGGGAAGTCTGGGCACGCCAGGCAGCAGCTGGCAGACTGGGGAGGCTGCATTCGGCGCACAGCAGAAGGGATGCAATGCAAGGCGCGACACAGACTCTCGGAAGAGGCTGCAGGACGCGCCACCGCTCCTGCCAGCCAGGGCGACAGAGGAACCTGTTCGCCGAGGGGAGGGCTGCAGCCCACCCTGTGCCCCCATCCACACCCAGGACAAGCCAGCCCTAAGCCGCCTGCCTCCCTCAAATCCCTTCCATATGCTGAGCTGTATGTGGCAAGGGCCCAGGGGCTGGCTGGCAGGTCCGGTGCCCCTCCCTTTGCCTGCAGAGGGACCGGGAGACGGGTTTCAGGGCACAGGCAATCTTCACAGCAGATTAGTCTGAGGGGATCCACATGGGGGGGGGGGCGGGGGAGAGAACGGGACATGTCCTGGCCCCCCATCCTCCCTACAGCCCGCAGGCCAATGCCACGTGGGACCCCGTGCCTGACACAGAGCAGCCCAGATCTCAGATGTGGCTGCCCAGCCACTACCCAATGCCCCCTCTGCTCCCCACCGGAGCCAGCAGGGAACGCTAACCCCGAGCTGTGCCCTGGCTGGCTCCAGTGGCCGGGAACAGGTCGGGTGCCTTGCAGCTGCAGGGGTGGCCGGCTGTATCCCAGCTGAGTCCCTGACCACCCTTCTCCTTGCTGGTGGCCACTGCAGAGCGGCCAAGGGCTGGGTGGGCCCCGAAGACTGGCCCCCTTATGTGGCGTAGGGTCCCTCCATGGCGGGGCTGGGTGAGGGAAGTTTGCCCTGCCATTGTCCCTGTCCTGTGCACCATCAATCCAGCCCCAGCCCCCAATAACGGGGAGGGAGCATGCATGAAACTGTACTGCTCAACTGTGCGTCACAGGCCCCGTATTGCAAGTGGTGATTCTCCCTTTGTTTGCACAGCAGGGGCCTGTGTTTCTGGAGCAGGAGGCAGGTTTCCAGGCAGCGCAGTGGCAGCCACGAAGCTGTCCTGACTTCTGGGCCTCAAGTGCAGCAAAGCCTCTGAACCATCACACCGCTCCCAGGAGAGGACACTGGCTGGATGATTTTCTGTGGCTACAGAGAGTCATTGCAGCCCAGCACCCAGCCTCACCCACCCAGCCACAGCCCCATCTATGTCTGAGCTTTGGGTTTGCTGGTTGGGAAATACCCTGATGGGCAACAGTTCCTGTGGCAAACGCTGGGGCCAGGATGCTGTCAATGGGCTCAAGGGGGGGGAAGACTTTAAATCAGTTGTTCCCACCCCCTTACTAATCCCAGGTGGTTTGTTCACCCTGCCTCTGCACAGCAGCGGGATCAGCGCCTGGGCTCCTGGAGCCTAAGCCGGGGGGTTCCAGGAAGGGATTCATTGTTTTAAGGAACAGCCCAACCCTCCCCACACCCCAAGTGCAGCACCCCGCAGCAGCGCCAGAAGCCAGGCCGTGGCTCAAGGAGGCAGCCGGTCTGAGAGGCGGAAGGGCAGCCAAGGCGGGAGCGAGTGGGGTACGTAGATCCGGTTCTAGGGCTCTTTCCCAGTCCAAAGTGCCTTGAAAACCTGTGTACGTACAGGAGGTCGTCTCCACCACAAGGGTGAAACACAGCAACTGCCCAACAGCTGCAGAAACCATGGACAGAACAGGAAGGAAAAGACACTAACGAATCAGGAGCAGTCTAGGGCTCCAGGGCCGGCCCTGTGCCACCCAGCATGGCTGCCCGGACTCCACGGCAGCAACAGGGACAGAGCTCAGACCCTCCTGCTCCAAAAACCCAGGCCTAAGGAGACTCTCCATTAACTGTAAGTAGTATGGGGGCTCTGACCCACAGCGGGGCCATTCTAATTCCACCCTGTAGTAGGCTCCGCAAGGTGTCAGCCATTCACTAGGATGCTGGAGCTGCAGAGGAAGTTACACAAGCAGCCAATAACTTCAGGGGCTGGCACCTGGCCAGCGCGCTGGGCTCGCAAATGCGCCCTTGCAAAAAGCGGCATCTTTCACCACAGTCAGTCGCGGCCAGCTTTAAATCTCAGCCAAAAGATGGACCCTCCAATAGCAAGGTACCCCCCACATCGCATGGGGGCCAGCCCCTCCTGAGAGTGCCCCCCTACTGAGTCCCCAGTACCCTGAGAGCACCCCCACCCCCCACTGCCTGCAGCACAGAACTCTGGAACTGCTTGAGAGCGCCCCCTACTGAGCCCCCAGCACTGAATGAGAGCCCCCCAGGAAGCCTCCCCACTACCTACAGCATAGAGCCCCCTGCCACTGCCTGAGAGCACCCCCTAGCATTACACTGGGCATGGGGATGGCACTGCCTGAGAGCCCCCCCCCCGTCACCACCTGAAAACGCCCCCTACTGACCCCCCCCCCACTCCCTGCAGCAGAGTATCCCCGGCACCACATGTGAGCACCCCCTGGTGAGCCCCAGCCCCCCTGCTGCCTGCAGCACGGTGCCCCTTGCCACCGCCTAAGAGTGCCCCCTATTCAGACATTCCTCCCCCCCCCGGCTGTCTGCAGCACAGCATCTCCTGGCATCAATCTGGGCATGGGGGTCAGCACTGCAGAAAGCCCCTCCCTACTCAGCCCCCAGGCCCCATTCCCCGGAGCACAGCACCCTCTGGCATCACACTGGGCATGGGGGCAGATACCGACTGCCAGGGGAGCATGTCCTGCTCCACTCCTGGCCATCCAGCATCCCTGGCATCACCCTAAGGAGAGTGGGCCCCCAAGGAAACTCCCTCACAACACCCTGAGCAGCTGGGTTGCCCTCAGTCATGGGAGATATACCCACATATGAACCAGGCTCCCGAGCCCAGCCCTGACCCCAGCCTGCAGCGCTACGGACGGAGCAGGACAAGCCAACTGGCAGGCAGGGATGCGGCGTGAGTCACAAATGCCGCACCAGGAGAGCCCAGGTGGGGGCAGCTGGGAGCCAGCCCAGAGCCTGAAAACAGGCAATTCCCTCCGGTCCAGAGCTGGGTACGGCACCACCCTGGCACAGAGCTGGCTTCAGCTGGGCACCTTTCTGCTTGGCCACAGGAGAGCGCACTTCACTCAGTTTGTGATACCGTCCCAGGCACCCGACACCAACCCGCCGACGATCGGTGGAGGGTGCGGGCAGGGGCTGGGGGGCCTTGGCAGAGGTGGAGGGGAACCAAACCCCCAGCCCAGAAAACAGGAGCGCTGCACTTCCTTCACCCACCTGAGCAGCTAGCCTGGCCCAATCACACCCTGCTAGGCCCAGGACCTGCTGAGAAACAGGCAGCAGAGAACCCCAGCCCTGCAGGGACCCCCAGCCCAGAACCTGATCTCAGTTACACCAAACCCCTCCATATCCACACCAGTGTCTGGTCCTGTGGGCCTGGCAAGATCGCTCCCAGCCGGCACTGGTGCTGCCGGCCCGTGAGTGGGGACAGGCCTCTGGTGAGCGCGGGAAGGCTGGCAGTGCAGTGCAGCGGAGGGCCCTACCTGAGGCTCGGACGCTGCTCCGTCTGGGCCTTGCGGTCCTGCCCCAGGGGACTCGTCAGAGGGCAGGGGGGCTCCAGCAGCGTTGGGGGGATATTCCGGGGGGCCGGGAGGGCGTCCGTTTTGGCCTCCCACAGAGTCTTGAGTTGTACAGAGGACTGAGGGGGGCTGAGTCCTAAAGCGCCGATAATCCTGGCCCATCCGCCTCCAGGGCGCGAGATCCCAGGGGGGGTCCCAGCACGATCCAGAGGGTGGCGCCCTGCGACTTGCCAGCGCGTCCGTCCAGGGCCGGGGCCTGGCTGCTGCAGCCCATGGGCTCAGTCTGGAAGAGAGAAAAGAGGTCCCAGTCTCAGGGCACATCTCCTCCGGCCGGGCACAGCATCACGCTACGCAGGGAGGGTGCTGCCACCCGGAGCCACCAGGGTGCAGAGCGAAGTCACTGCCTGGCCGGGATGACTCCATGCCAAAGCCCCCACCCCCCTCCAGGCACCGACCCCAGAGGGAAACCAGCCCCGCAGGGGAAGTGCCACCCTCCCATTTGAGAGGAGACCAGGGACTGGGCTCGAACCCAGCACCTGCTCACTGGCTCTGGTGGAGACAGGCAGGCAGGCTCCTTGCAGCTGGCCCCCGGCGTGCCCAGGTGCCAATGCAAACAGGGAGGCCGGACGTGCCATTCTCTGGGACAGGGAGGGGGGATCCCAGAGTCAGGGACCCTTCCAGCTCTGCCCAGGGCAGAACATACAGACGGGGTTGCTAGAGCACAGCTCCCCATGGCACCGGGGCAGAGCCAGGCCATGGGACCCTAGTGGAGAGGAATCAGGATCCCTCTTTGAGCGGCCCCCAAGATGGATGCTGTTGTTCCCCCCACTGCCCCCAGAGCCCTGCTCTGCCTGGCCAGTCGGCAGCCCTGGCACGCAGCCCCTCTGGGATGGAGTGCAGTCCCATGCACACCACAGGGGAGGAAGGGAGCACTGGCCCCCACCCCTGGGACGCGGCCTGCCCCAGCTGTACCCCTACCTTGGCAGCCCAGCCCAGCCCAGCCTCCAGCAATCTCCCTGCAGTGCGCGCAGCTGGCAATGGCCGAGGCTCTCCACCCGCCTTTGAGCAGCCAGCTGGGCCCCAGCCCACGGGGGCACCGTTGGGGCGGCGGGAGCCTGGCTGTAAGGCCGGAGGCTGCAGCCAAGGCCATGGCTCAGCTGCCGTCCACAAATGGCCCCGTGCCCTCCCCCATCAGCTCCCAGGGCCTGGGAGTCAATGAGCTCATTGTCCGGGGGGATGGAGGGGGGCAGAGCTGCGCTCTGGCATTTGCCCCTGACTGAGTGGGTGCTCACCCCCCTCCCCCCACATCAGGGGCTCTCACGCAACCCCTCTCTGACTCAGGGCCCTGGCTGGATCAGCTGGGACGTCCTGTCCCTGCTCCCAGTCCTGGGGGAGCCGGCGTGTGAGGAACACGGAGCCGTGTCTCAGCCACCCCCGCCCAAGCCAGCACTCAGGGATCCTGCCAGGGCGCAGCCAACCCACATCGGGGGCCTTGAGAACAGGGAGAGGAGGGGACTAGCCTGTTCCTGGCAGTAAAGGGCCAAGAGGTCTTGTTAGAGGGAAGAGATGGTCTGCTCCCCACACCCAGCTCTGCGGTGTTCCCCACTCCCAACCCACAGCCCCACCACTATCCCAGCCCTGAGCTCCCCTGCTGCTCTGTCGGTGCCCCTCAATCCCGACCCGCAGCCCCCTGCTAGCCCAGCCCTGGGCTCCCCCCCAAACTCTGCCGGGGCCCCCCACTCCTGACCCGCAGCCCCCTGCCAGCCCAGCTCTGGGCTCCCCACCCAGCTCTGCCAGGGCCCCCCGCTCCTGACACACACGGTACAGGATGAACCAGAACCCTCCATGAGCTCCTCAGTCCTAGGCAGACTCAGCATCTCCCCCCTCACCCCCCACGCTCTAATGTAGCTGCACCAATTACTGCTGCTGCTAATTAATAGGCCCATTTCCTCCCCTGCTGCTGGCTCCTTTGGACCGTGTCCAGAAGAGGTGAGAATCCCACTCGGCAGCCAGCACCAGCCACCGCGCCAAGCTGTTCACTCCGGCCCCGGAGCTGTGCTCGCAGCACAGATGCTGGGACTGCGGCATGACAGTCCCCAGCCGGGCGAGGGAGATCTGCCCCCGGGAGGCTGCACGGGGGCCAGCGGGACCCCGTGGCCAGACAGGAGCAGCCTCTCCCAGGAGCAACACCGGAGGCTGCAGCTGACCCAGCAGTGGCAGGGGGGGTCTCTGGGCCAGACACTCACATTCACCAAGAGCTTCTCACGCCACAAAACTCCTCTTGGCCCAAGCCCTCCCCCCCGTCACACAGAGGCCCCGGGGCCTGAGCTGGATACGGACTGGGCCCCGCAGCGCCACTGATGGGCTGAGCCCCACAGCGCCCCCAGGAGGTGGGGATGTCTCGCCCCCACTCACCACGTGTGAGCCGGTGCACAGGTCAGACAGTCAGCACAGCGTACAGCACCTGGCACCATGCGGCTGCTGCACGGCTCAGCCCAGGTCCCACAGGGTGGAGCAGGGAACACCCCAGTCCCCTCTCCACCGGGCCTCCTTCCTTCCCTCTCCCAGGGCAGGATCAACCCAAGGTTTCTGACTGGTACCAGCTGGGATCCAAATGCCTCTGGGTGCATTTACACAGGGGTGGCCCCTGGCTATTCACCCATCCCCCAGGCAGGAGGCCCCACCCACAGGAGCCTGAGAGGGGCCAGAGGAAAGGAAATGAAGCTGCAGAGGGTGGAGATGAAAGGCCCCAGCTCAGTGCACATGTGCTCAGCAATTAAGGCTCTTAAAGGGACAGTGTAACCCTAGGCAGTCAGGACCACGGGCCCACTGTTGGTGGTTCCGGGCTGGATGCACACAGGGCCTTGGAAGGGGCCGGGGAGCATGTGGGCCAGGGCACTGTCACGTGCTGTTCAGGGCATCCAGACAGAGAGCCCTAGGGATATGGCTGCTGGGGGACAAGCCCCAATGGTGACACAAGAGCCTCAAACCCACCATCCAACTGCCCCCCCATGCAGCACACATGGACACTGGGGGTACCAGCAACATCACATGTAAGCCAGGGCCTTGGGCGCTAAGCCACAGGTCTCCATCCCAGGGCGCAAGCTGCAGGGCAGGGTATGTATCCTCACCCCCGACCCTGCCGCTAGAAGGCAGTTGCCACCCACACCACCCACTGTCTTGGAGACACAGGTGGCTGCAGGGGGGCAGAGGGGACCGGTCAGATAAGGCTTGCCTTGGAGTGGGCCAGGAGTGCACAGCCAGGTGCCAGAGGAATGCAGCACCCCCGGAGGGGACCCTGACCATGCTTCGTGGCACTGCCCCCCATCTCACCATGCCCCGAGTGCCCTTACCCCAGTTCCACTCACTTCCCTTCCCAGCAGTTCCAGCTGCAGCCCAGCCCAGGAGAGCCATGTACCCTGGGCCTGCCAAGCAGCAGAGAATCCCAGAGCCCCCTCCAGTACCCCAGGCTGGTGGGAGACCCCGAGGGCAGAGAAGGCTGGTTCGGCGGGCACAGCCTCACCCTGGCAGGTATCTGTTCCCCAGCAGCTCTAATCTGCCCATTCCCACCAGCCACAGCGGGAGCGTCAGGGTGTTCAGGGCAGAGCCTTGCATCCGGCTCTCCCCCAGCCAGCCCAATGCCAGCGCCCGTTCAGCAGGAAGCCAGAAGATCCCTCCAGCCTTCTCCCACCCAGTCCCCGCAGCCATGGCTTCCGCTATCATGTCAGCAGCCACCCAAATGACCCTGGAACATGCCAGGAAGGGGGTTGTGGTGTCTCAGCTCGGTGGGTATGGAGAGGGCTGGGGGGGTGGCTCCCCCTGCCCCCCAACAAGCCAGGCAGTGCAGGGGCTCCCGTGGGCACCCACAGGGCTATGCCCAAGGGAGGGGAGTGGAAGTTGCTACACCCCCTGGCCCCGGCAGCACTGGGGAGCAACCCAGCCCACGCAGCACCCTGCAGCCCAAGGCCAGGCTGGGGGAGCCATGAGCGAGTGACCAGCACAGACTCCACCCACCAAACCCCCCAGCTCCCCTCTCCGCCCACCCAGGGGAGTTCAGACCTGCTCCTGCACCAGCCGACCTGCCCAACGGCTCCGCAGCACCAACAGCCCACGTCCCCGGCTTCCTGCCCACGCCGCAGCTGCATGGCGCTCAGCCACCTCGCACCGGAGGGGGAGTGCACCTGGCGGCCCGGTGGGGGGAGGGGCAGGGATGTGCCACACCTGGAAATGGGGGAGCAGGGGGGTTCTAAGGGATGATCACAGCCCCCGGCGTCTGCTCTCTCACCATCCCTGGACGTGCTGGAGAGGGAAAAGCCCCGCTAGGTCCCATCTACAGCATTCCCTCTCCCCCCCCACCCCATGGTACTGCCTGAGCCCCTCCACTGCTCCAACTACGCGTGTTCCCCACCTGGCTGGAGCCTGCGGCCCCACCGACACTGGGAGACGGTGCCCGTGTAGCATCCCCACTACTGTACAGCTGGCAACCGGCCCCTAGAGCGCCTGCGGCCTGGGCACTGACCGGCCTCTCCCGCACCGAGCACAGGGAGGGGCAGGGACCTGCTCAGGGTCACAGAGAGCCCAAGTCTGGCCTTCCCCCCAGTCAGCCATGCCCACTGGGGGACGCGCACTCCCCTCCTAGACGAGGCGGGACAGTGGGCCCAGGCAGAGACCCACATATACTCCCTCCCCCCCAGCAGCTCACATGGCACAATGGGCACCGGTGGGCTCACTGGCATGGCTTGGCTCTGGTCCCCTCACCTCCCAGCTGCCTGTTCAAATTAGCCTGGGCCAGGCATGCCCCAAAGCTGCTGTGGCCTGCCAGCCCGGCGACGCAAGCATGGACGGTGCTTGGTGGCTCTCAGCCCAGCTGGTCACAGACTAGTGACCACTGCACATTGGCACCCACAAATGGCTGCCAGCTGCCAAGGGGGGAGCGCCCAGCTGTGGGGGACCACCGACAAGCTGGGCGGTGCAGAGGGCTTTGCCAGCTAGATCCTCTGGGGCCGTAGGTGGGAGATGCTTCCTCCTCCACAGCCCAAAAGTGGAACCTTTGGGGAGCAGAGAGACAAAACCCCCTGGGCAGGCAGCTGCCCTCAGCAGCACTAGAGGGCAAAGGACACTTTGGCACAGCAGGGCCCCTGGGGAGGGGATCAGAGACCAGAGCGCAGGGGAGGGAGGGAGCGCAGGGGAGGGAGGGAGGGAGCGCAGGGGAGGGAGACCAGAGCGCAGGGGAGGCCTCTGTGCCGGAAGCAGCATGCCGGGGCTGCTCCTGGGAGCAGACGC